CCACTTCTATCATTTATTCTCTGTATCTATGCCTAGTGCTCCTAAGGAATTGCTTTAAATGTGCTCAGAGCTGAAAATATCTCCCATTCTACTAGTGAGATATTTGATCGTTTTATTACTGAGCTCAATAATTAAATCTCCTTACTTGTCGATAATTTACACGATAACTGTCCCCTGTAAATTTAGATAAGTTGAGTAGTATCTAAACTGAACAGTTGAACATGAAATAACCTTGTACCTGAATTACGGTAGACTTGATAAATTCGACTGGTCTATCGTTGTACTTATAACTGAGGCATTTTTACACTGGAAATGACATAAACTAAACTGTTTATACAGGAATAGGAAGTCCAGTTAAAATGATTCAGTAGTTCCTGAATGACACCTTGGATTACTGTTATATATATTTGAAAAATGTACTGCCTAAACAATTTTCAAAATTGCTTGGAATAAATGTTAAAAGGCATAAACTGCGAGATGATGAATATAGTTGTTTATTATTACAATCATGAATCATAACTCTTTGATAAAAATCATACAATGTGCTCACTAGTGACTAGCTTTGTGAGTAAAATTATGGGAGTTTTAAAGAGATGTGACAAGTGAAGTTCAACACTATCGGGTGTAGGCAGTTACCTACCGAAGACAATGGGTGAGGTCACGCAAGACCGTGGATTGATCAAAGTTAGACACTAACACCGCTGGATGTCTGCTCAGTGATCCAGAGGTTAGGCGTTCGCGCTCAAGACTGAAGGTCCAGCGGGAATTGCGGATGTGCACTATCGACAAGTTCCGGAATGGCCGTTCAGTGCCTCCAGAATTGTAATGGTGGTCTAACAACGATTGGTTCATGCCTTTTTAAAAACTGTCGATTCCTTGTATAAAAATTAAAAGTTTTGATTAAATTTCTTGTTGATAAATAAATACAAATAGATTTTTCACAAACCAATTTACAATCCTCCTATCCAACTGGAAGAATTTTTTTCAAAATGATCCACTGTGAAGAGAAAATCATTCGGAGTAAATGTTGAAGGGCATAAAAAACCTAGATGAAATCTATTCTCATTTCGTATTCACAGTCAAATATTCGTATTTTGATTTAGTTAATAAAATGTTACTCTTGTATTTAAAAAAATTTTCTGTTTTTTACACATTTGAAATCATCAATCAATCATTGTTAGACAACCATTAGAAAAATGGAAGCACTGAAAGACGGCCGTTTCGTCCCGGTATGGGACTGCTCATCAGCAGTGCGCATCCACGACTCCTGCACCTCACAAGATTCGTACCCGGGACCTTCGGTAGATAAATCAGAGTTACACATTAACACCGTTAGGTGCCGGTCCAGTGGTTCGATGGTCGGGCCTTCGCTCACAATAACGAAGGTCCGAGGTTCGAATCCTGCGAGGGGCAGGAGTCATGGATGCGCACTGCTGATGAGCAGTCCCATACCAGGATGAAACGGCCGTCTTTCAGTGCTTCCGGGTTTCTAATGGTTGTCTAACAATGATTGATTGATGATTTCTAATGTGTAAAAAGACACAAACCTCCAAAACTCTGCCTGAAAAATTTTCTATTGTATATACCAGATAGAACAGAGTAATTATTTATATTCAGCCTTGTTTATTCAGGTGTATTTTCTTTCTTTTAAAAGTAAACAGTAATTATTTGCTTTCTCTAAACCGAATATATATATATATATATATATATATATATATATATATATTGACTTAGCTGCATCATGGTTAAATCATACAAATTTGTCAGGCATTGCATTGAGTGAAATCAATGAAACATAGTCACGCAGTGTCATCTACTGATGAAAGTTGTTATTACATACAGACATCATTAGATTTAGGTCCAGCTTTACAAAGGCTAAGAATTTACAAGCATATAACCAAAGATTCTATGTTCGATTCTTCATAATAGGGTCGTAAGCACATACTGCTAGGAAGTCTCATAAGAAAATGGTTCTCTTCCTAGTGTTTTCAGGATTTCAGTGATTATCTAACTGCAATAAGTTTGTAATATCAAGTAATCACTCTTTACAAATACGATTTTTCTCAATAATAATATTTAGCCCACTATAAATTCTATATTGGAAATTCGACTATTAATACTTCATGTTAGTTCAAATTTTAAACAATAACCAAACTAATTGTTTAATTATTCAATATTAATTATTATTTTATTTTTATTTAAATTGGGAATATTTCGAAAAAATTGCCGATATACTTATGCCTGTTATTTCTGATGAAGCTAAGCCGCCAACCAACAATCTCTATCCAACTATGTCCTGGGCTCTCCTTTACTGTTCTATCTAACTGTCGTTCACTCTTTGCATGTCTGCTTCGAATTCTCGGTATGATGTGTTCTTTGGTCTTCCTCTTTTCTTTTGGCCTTAAGATTTCAAGTTACAGCTAACCTTTTGGCACAGTTTGGTGTGCGTTATCCTGCCCCAGCGCTTTTTCCCAATTTTATTCTCACTTGGAAACTGGCTTACTCGTAGTTACAAATGATTATCGCTGACAGTTTCTGACCAATGAATCCGTAGTTTCTCGCGTAGACAAATGTAATTAACACCGATATCCTGTGGATGATAATGATCATAGTTATTGTACTTCCAGCTCTATACGTTCATATTGAGAAGTATAACTTTGGTGTTGGCTTAGAGTTGTTTTGAGTTCCAGATGTTCTTCAGTCGTTGAAAGTCTGCTATGGCTTTGCCATCCCATGTCTTCATGTTTGCATGAAATCCTCATTGTTTATGAATGATTCTGCTCAGGTATTTAAAGGTAATCACTTCTTCCAAAGCTTCTCCGTCAAGTGTGATTGCGTTGGTGCGTTGTGTTATATCGAAGAATCTTGCTTTTTCACCTACGCATATTAAGAGATACTGTTGTATAGATTACGGCTTCTTTGACTATCTTCACCTGTATTTTTTTGTGTGTGCAATACAAGAGCTAGATCGTCTGCGAAAGCTAAACGATCTAGCTGCATTTAATCTGTCTACAATATGCGTTTCTCTCCTGAGATGATGAAGTTTCCATCATCTTATCAACTACCAGGAGAAAGAGAAAGGATGAGAGTGAGCAGCCTTTTGTAACATCAAACTTCACCTAGAATGAGTTTGTGAGCTGCCCTCAATGCACAATTTTTCACTATAGTCCGTTGTAAGAATTCATTATGATTGTTAACTATCTTCTGAAGTACACCGTAGTATCGATGAATCTTCCACAAATTTTTCGAATCCACATCGTTAAGTGGAAGTTGACATATAGTAATGAACCCTATCCAACTGATTTTTATTTAACTGTGATCGGAATGTTTGAGGTTTGATCCGTAAAAAATTGACACAAACGAAGTTGAGCGCTTACTAAATCCTTCATTCAGTTCAAAAATTCTTTTTTTGAGACGTTTTCCAGCTACTACTAAGAATAATAATAATATGATTCTTGTGTGGTTCTCATTTTCACTAAGATCTTCGTTCTCTGGCATCTTGATGAAGTATATTTCGTTTTAGTTTGTTGTGACTTTTTCTTCCTGACAAAACTTTCTAAGGAGGATGTGGAGCATCTTAACAGTTACTTCTATATCTGACTACTGTGCTTCACCTGTATGTCTGTCTGATACTGTTACTGTCTCCTTACAAACTCAGTGAAGTTTTTAATGATAGATTCATCGTTTTTAAATTCTCTAATTCTTTGTTGAAACAGTTAAAACTCTACTTATTCCTACAGATTGTATAGAATCTATTCCATTTATCTGGACGTCAGTACATGCTTAGTTAGAGTATTTTAAACGTAGGTAAACGAGATCAGAATCAATATTCAGTTGATTAAGCATTTCAATGTTAGTTTTTTCATTTCCAGTCTGGCAAACTTCATTATTTACCAGACTACAGAAAAAGGAAATAAACTTTTCTGATAGATTTTAATTTTTTTGCTTGATTTATGTGAACTTTAATTTAAAAAATTATTGAAATCTACCAAGTCTTTATTGACTGCTGATAAGTCTCATACCAAGACGAAACGGCCGTCCAGTGCTTCCAGATTTCTAATGGTTGTCTAACAATGACTGATTGATGATTTCAAATGTGTAAAAAACACAAATCTCCAAAACTCTGCACGAAAATATCGTAAAATGTGCTCACTAGTGACTAGATTCGTGAGGAAATTCTCAGAGTTCTAGTTGAGAAGACGTGACCAATGGAGTTCAACCCTATCAGATGTAGGCAGTAACTACCAAAGACAAATGGTTGAGGTCGCGCAAAATCCGTAGATCAATCAGAGTTATACGTTAACACCATTGGATGCCGACCCAGTGGTCCGATGGTTAGGCGTTCGCGCACAATAACGAAGGTCCCGGTTTCAAGTTCTGCGGGGTGCAGGAGTCGTGGATGCACACTGCTGATGAGTCCCATACTAGGACGAAAAGGCCGTCCAGTGCTTCCATGTTTCTAATGGTGGTCTAACAATGATTGATTGATAATTTCAAATGTGTAAAAATATGAATTAACAATTCATATTACTACAAAGAATATTTCACCTGTTACGAACTCTAGTTATTATTCAACTGCTAGAAACTGAACTGGTGAACAGGTGAATTGAAGAATGTTTTCAAATTAAATTCATATATTTTTTATAAAAGATTTCCGACATCCGTTAGACAGAAATAAAAAAGATCCGAAAGAAATCATCAATAACTATAAGATTTCTGAGTTAAATCAATGAATGAGGAAGACAATACAATTAAGTTTTAATGAGTTTCCTGTAGATGAATTCTCGTTGCCCACTTTCATTTGAAATCTGCGCGGATGTGTAATTGTCTAGAAAATCAATGAAAGTTTTACAATTTGAACCATTCAAATCGGTGAGTGGAATTTCGACGAAAAAAAATCATAATTAATGTTATTTTATTGAAAGAAACAAATCTACTCGAATTTTCTTTCCTTATAAATTGTATTTATTGGCTCTAAATACAATCTTGACAATGATTCAATGTTATGTGTAAATTGGCTGATGATTTTGAAAAAATGGACTGAAGACTTGCCTTTAAAACATATTAAAGCCGATGAACATGGTGAAAATTCTACATTTCATATGTCTACAAGCAGAATATCATCAAAAACATCTAATCCGAAGAAAGATGTCGAGTTATTGGTGTGCTTAGGATTATAAAACAATTAGTTCTTTTCACAGACAGAATTTTGGAGGTTTGTGTTTTTTTACACATTTGAAATCATCAATCAATCATTGTTAGGCCAACATTAGAAACCTGGAAGCACTGGACGGCCGTTTTGTCCTGATATGGGACTGACTCATCAGCAATGCGCACCCACGAATCCTGCCTCTAGCACGATTCGAACCCGGGACATTCGGTATTGTGCGCGAACTCCTAATCATCGGATCACTGGGTCAGCATCCAACGGTGTTAATTTCTAACTCTGATTGATCGACGGATTTTGAACGACCTGACCCATTTGTCTTTGGTAGTTATTGCCTACGTCCGACAGAAATGAACTTGATTGGTCACGTCTTCTCAACTAGAAATCCGAGAATTTCTTTTTAGAAAATTTTGATAGAACAATAAGACATAATTGGTATGAAAAAGGTTGTGATGTATTTGCTCTACACATATTCCAAACAATCTGGTCACACATATTTTTACTTGTCAAGGCATTTTATATGAAGATTATATAAAAAGGTCAAAATTAAATAACAGTTCAAATAAACTTAAAGTGATTAATGAAAATGAAGGAGAGAAAAAATGAACATACTATCGAAAGAATAAGAAAGGGTATGAAATTGTCATATTACCCTAGGCCATACAAAGGTTACCAGGGTAAATTCAAGGTTATTACAAACTGTTTCTATACACACAAGGGGGGGGGCATTAATTTATGAATAGTTGAGGCTTTCATAAACCTCATTACTCGTCCTTGTACATTTCTATACAGTGTTTTAAAGGCTATCATGATGTCAATCTTGTGACCCGTTCCAACTATATGTTTTGCAATCGATGAGCATAGATTGCTATTACACACGTTTATCGGGTCATCTGACATGAAATGATTTTGATGCTAACTGGGTATATAACCCTTGATTGCTAAGTCCGATAACTCATCTCTGTGTATGTGTCCACACAAACATGTAAACTGATAAATACAATGGGATCTGATATAATTGTTCGAGCAATGTCTATGTGATTATTATTATTATTATTATTATTATTATTATTATTATTATCAGTTAAGCAGAGTAGAAAGTTTTCTCTGTTGCTGCTTTTAGTCTCAGGATTAAGATTAAACCATTTGATTGACCTCGAGATGGTCAAGAGATATAAAAACAAACAGAATCCAAGACAGGCTATTGTCTACACCTACTGATGAACTGTAGAATTTTTGAGTGTGAAATTCTTTAGAATATTAACATATACTCTTCTCATTGTGCTTCCAATGTATATGCATCGACATGTACGCATTGATCAGTTTATTATAACTAGTTCTTGGCACGATGTAACAAGTTTCCTGTGTACCTGGTGGGAAGTGAAATCTCAAGATCAACTGATCAGTCCACGCTCGGAAACATGAGATCCGAAATTAAGGCATTTATCAAGCGATTTCTGGGGATCTAACGTCCCCCAACAAATACTTCGGGATAAGATGAAAATTTTTCCTCATTTATACAATCTATGAGTGATCAGTTTGTTTCGTGAAATGAATTGGCCTGATTGAAACGAACATGTCGTTGTAACTGACTTCAACATTCTCACTGAATATATATTGAAATATAACATTGATCAATAGCTCAACAATGTCTAAAACACTAATAATGATGATATTGGTTCGTGAAATCATTATTACCTTTATGTCATAGTTCTATATTCAATAAAAGCTTGATATGATCATTTTCAGCAGTTTATCAAGCTTGAAATCAGTTTTCAACCACTTGATCTCTCTTGTTCATATCACTTTTAGTGTCCTAATCTACATAACATTATATAATTTTCTTTAATTTCAGACTTAGAGCATTGCATCGTTGTCCAAAACTTAAATATGACTCAAAATTAGCTAGTGATTCACAAAAATGGGCTGAACATTTGGCTGCAACAAATTGTTTACAACATAGTAGAGCAGATGACTATGGTGAAAATTTAGCAGTTCATTTGTCTTCAGCCAAAGCATCAATGAATGGTAGGTGAAAGTCACTTTTTTTTATTCTCTAAGTATCTTCAAGATATCTTCTAAACAGAAGAAAGATACTAAGCTATTGGTATGTTTAGGATTGGAGCATTTTTGGAATGTGGAATTCTTTAGAATATTAACAGATACTCTTCTCATTGCTCTTCCAATGTATATGTATCGACATGTACATAGTGATCAGTTTATTATAACCAGTTCTTGGCACAATGTAACAAGTTTCTTGTACTTTGTTACGTTGAAATGAAATATTTCAAATTGAGTAGTATATACTGGCATACTTTTACAGTTTCATTTGTTTAGTTAGTCGTTTTAAAAATTAAACATTAAGACGGTGAGTAAATTTATGATAAATAGATAACATTATTGTACATTTAACATTAAAAATGTTTTTTTTGTTTGTTTACTGTGAAAGGTCGTGAAGCAACTCGAATATGGTACGATGAAATTAGCAAATATGATTTCAATAGACAACATCAACCCTCGTACAGGTAAATAACAACCAATGAGATTAATTTACTTAAGTTTGATGTTTTTAACACAAATTTATTTTACTACTTATGAAGTTTTAATCTTTTTAATTATGAAATGAAGAGTGACAGTAATTGCATAAGCTTTTGAAATATTCAACAACATTGTTTAGTCAAATAATCATGAGCAACATGAAACATTGAATCGGTTCCAGTTGTCACAGCATATGACAGCAGTGAGATAAAGCCATCATGACAAATGCCAGAATAGTAAGAATAACAATATTAATGGGTTTTTTTTAAGAAAAAAAACGATAAATGGTAGTTGGCAGTTGAATGCAGAAAATAGTTTACCATAATTTGTTTCCGTGAAAATAGTTCAATATTGTATCTATCTAACATGGTGGAGCAATCAATTGAATGGAATTCACCACTCTACATCAACTTCATCGACTACGAGAAAGCATTCGATAGCTTGGACAGCAAAACACTGTGGAGGCTTCTTCAACGCTACGGTGTGCCTGAGAAGATAGTCAACATCATACGGAATTCTTATGATGGATTCAACTGCGCAATCGTGCACGATGGACAGCTGACAAACTCTTTCGAGGTGAAGACCGGTATCAAGCAAGGTTGCTTACTCTCACCCTTTCTCATTCTCCTGGTCATCGACTGGATTATGAAGACGTCGACATCTGAAGGGAGGCACGGTATCAACTGGACAGTTAGGACGCAGCTGGACGATCTGGACTTCGCAGATGATCTGGTTCTTCTATCGCACACGCAACAACAAATGCAAGAGAAGACGACCAGTGTAGGAGCAGCCTCTGCAGCAGTAGGTCTCAACATACATAAAGGAAAAAGCGAAATTCTCCGATGCAACACAACATGCACCAACCAAATCACTCTTGATGGAGATACCTTGGATGACGTTAACAACTTTACATATCTGAGCAGCATCATCGACAATCAAGGTGGATCCGATGCAGATGTGAGGGCGCGGATTGACAAAGCGAGGGCTGCATTTCTATAGTTGAAAAATATCTGGAAATCCAAACAACTTTCAAACAAAACCAAAATCAGGATTTGCAATACAAATGTCAAGACAGTTCTACTGTATGGAGCGGAAACATGGAGAACTACGAAAGCCATCATCCAGAAGATACAAGTGTTTATGAACAGTTGTCTACGCAAAATACTTCGGATTCGTTGACCAGACACTATCAGCATCAATCTACTGTGGGAAAGAACAAACCAGATTGCAGTGGAGGAGGAAATCAGGAAGAAGCGGTGGAAGTGGATAGGACACACACTACGAAAAGCACCTAACTGCGTCACGAGACAAGCACTCACATGGAACCCTCAAGGCAAAAGGAAAAGAGGAAGGCCAAAGAACACACTACGCCGAGAAATAGAGAAAGATACGATAGGAATGAACAAAAATTGGACAGAACTGCAGAAGGAAGCCCAGGACAGAGTTGGTTGGAGAAAACTGGTGTGCGCCCTATGCTCCATTGGGGGTAACAGGCGTAAGTAAGTAAGTAAGTAACATGGTATAATGTGGTGGGAACTACTTACAACGCAGCTTGTAAGTAGTATGCGGGGGATAAGCAGTTGTTTGTCGCTCTGAAGTTACTGCTGAACAGTAGAGTATTGTATTCGAATGTATAGCGCCATCTGAATGTCTTGAGAAACAGAACACAAAGCAAGTAGATGGCTAAGAATCCGTTCCAAGCTTACTTTAACGTTCATTACATTTTCATTTCGAAAAATGAATTATTTTGTGCGAAATTGCTACCTACTTGAAAGTAATTTCTGAACCATAAACTAACGACGTTGTTAAATGACAAAGTAATGTTCATTTTTGAAATTTACTCTTTTCTATCGTTAAAACAACAGAAGGAAACGAAGCTTTCGTTAAAATTTAAATCAGCAAATTAGTTCAGATTATATGATTATTTCACACAAATTGAACTAAACTAAATCAACTTCTCTAAAGTTTGTAACTTGATAATTACAATAGTTCAATAAAAATATTCTTCATAAGAAGAGGAAAATGAAGCATTAGTTATAATTTATCAGTAATCAGTAGTCAGTTTGCTTTTTTCTTCAAAAGAAGTAATCATGCAGTAAAAAACTGACCAAGAAAGTTTTTATGGATCAAAAAATTTCATTCAGGTCATAAAACAATTATAGTCAGGTAAAGAAAAAATAATAAAATTAATCCTTTTCAATGAATTCAGCTTTTTTTGCGTAAACTAATTCACTCATAGATCATTATTCAAGTATGAGTCGCTGATACATTTGTTTTAAAGTGAACAAAATATTAACAAAAATAAATATGCACATTTGAAATCATCACTCAATGATTGTTAGACAACCGTTAGAAACCTAGAAGCACTGAAAGACGGCCGTCAAGTCCTAGTTTGGGACTCATCAGCAGTGCGCATCCACGACTCATGCACCTCACAGGATTCGAACCCGGGACCTTCGGTATTGTGCGCGAACACATAACCATCGGACCCCTGGGTCGGTATCCAACGGTGTTAATTTCTAACTCTGATTGATCTACGGATGTTTGCGCGACCTCAGCCATTTCTCTTTGGTAGTTATTGCCTGCACCCGACAGGGTTGAAATCCATTAGTCACGTCTTCTCTATTTGAACTCCGAGAATTTCCTCACGAATCTAGTCACTAGTGAGCACATTTTACGATATTTTCGTGCAGAGTTTTGGAGGTTTGTGTTTTTCTTTAAACATTTGAAATCATCAATCAATCATTGTTAGACCACTATTAAAACCTGGAATCTGAATATGCCTGCATCCCAAAGTTGATGATCACTACAAGACTTGAACGCCACCGCCTTGATGACTAGTGACTTTTGTAATGAGATTAAATTTCATTGATTAGTATTGGTAGTTTTAATATTTCACTTGATGATAGCTAGGATTTTGTATGTTGGTAGTACCGAAGGAATCTGCGCAAGATGTACACACATCAACAAAGACTGATCAATTTCAGTCCTGAACTTTTGTGGATGTTAGATCCCCAAAACTCACTTGTTAAATGCCTGATTTTGGATTTTACGTTTGCCAGCATGGGCTGATCACGTGACCTTGAGATTTCATTCACCACCAGGAAAATCCATGGCTGTGATTGGCTGCTGTGTATTTTAGTGTGCTATTTTCGTAACTGTCCCAAGGATGTTTCTATGATGTATAAATAAATGAGAGTTGTATGCTTGATTGTACTGTGATTGCTGGGTGTTTGTAGAATATACTTTCTACGCTTACAAAGCCTTTTGTCTTCAGCTTGGGATTCAAGGTAGCGTACCTGGACTCTGGTAATTGTCTCGTTCGCGTTTATCGACTAAGGTGAACTCGTAATAGCCTCAGGCATACTTAGTGACGAACTCTACATGAACACCAATGAGAAGGCACAACACAACCAATACAAATAAATATACAATCGTCCTCTAAATTTACAAATTAAATTTTGCATCAAAAACTCACATATTATTACTGTTAGGTTTTTTTTCCCTGTACGTATTTATGCATGCGTTTATCCAAAAGAATTAATTTATCGCTACTTGTCTCACAGAAAATTAATTTCAAATGTACCAATTCCTTTATACAATATTTCAAATTGTTACATCACTATAATGCAACGAGATTCTTTTTTCTTTTCCTCTTTCATCTACAAAAATTTACGCATCATCCTTGTAAATTGAATTTTCATTTTAATGATTTGAGTGATATTAAAGATGCTTTTAATGAAAAAGGAGGTCTGTTTGAATATTTGGGCTATCTGTTCTTCCTTACATCAAAATATTTCACAAGAAAATCCTGCATAACATAGTTTTTGGTACTAGTTAGCATTAATTAATATGGAGTATCTCGGCGAACTTGAGCTCACATCACTTAGCACCACAGTGCCCACTATACTGTATGTTTAGATTAGTGACTAAGTTGCAGCTTGATCGGTAGAATTTGATCGACTCAAAGGTCTAGGCGAACATGATATTGCTCATTAGAAGGTAGTAAAGGTATTAGGAGTAATTGGAGAGGTTAGGATTAGAAGATATTATTCAAGAAGTATGATTCAATGAGAAACGTTTAGAAAGTCAAAACTAGATGTGTTGAAGAACCCAGAAGATTACGATTTGAGAGAACACAAAGAATAAATGCACCGGCGCCATTGCAAACGATTTTGAGCCATGACATTCAAGGTCTCTAACATCTGATTACTAACATCTCGCGGACCCCAACCAGGTAGTCGACAATTACCGACATGGCTAAGTCCACTAGTCAATGAATTCATGGATTTCTGCCATGTTTTTTGGTTTGGCCACCCCTAACTTTCTTCCAACCTATTCCTGCACTACAGAACAAAGCTCGACAAGGCAGTCGGTGGTTAGGCATACACAACACATGTCCCAACCACCTCAACTGATGAAGTTTCATCACTTCATCTATTGAAGTGCCATTCTTACCTAGCACCCGATTCCTAATAACAGCGTTGCTCACTCGGGTGTCCCACGATATACGAGCTATGCTTCGAAGACACCTATGATCGAAAAGCAGTAACCTACGAATATCTTCTACTCTCACTGGCCATGTTTCACAGCCATAAAGTAAGACGGAGCGAACTACTGCACAGTACACTCGTCCTTTAGTCAGCAAACGGATATCACGTCTACGCCATAAGTGACGCAGGTTGGCAAAAGCCAATCGAGCCTTCTGTTTCCGAGCTGAGATTTCGTCAGTCACCAGACCATCGGCACTGATGAGACTCCCAAGATAAGTGAAGCGGTCAACACGTTCGACTACTTCACTCCCTATCACTAGTTCAGGTGCCGATGAAACCGAATCTTGAAGCAAAATATTGCATTTCGACAGGGAAAACCGCATCCCGAACATGCTTGCATTGTTGCTTAGGGTGGTCAGAAGACTCTGCATTTTGTCAGCGTCTTCACCAAGTAGGACAATGTCATCGGCATATTCTAAGTCAATAAGCGAGCCACCTGGTAGAAGGTCTACTCCTGAAAATTCAGACGAGGATAAGGTTATTTCTAGGAGCATGTCTATGATAAAATTAAACAAGAATGGAGAAAGTGGACATCTCTGACAGACACCACTTGAAGTAAAGAATTCCGTTGACAGTTCGCCATAAGCTCTCACTCGACCAGTGGTGTTTGAGTAGGGAGCTTGTATAAGGTTAATGTACTTCTTTGGTTCACCTTTCAATGACAGACACTGCCACAGAACCTCACGATCCACTGAGTCAAATGCCGCTTTTAGGTCCAGGAAAACAACTGTTATAGGATGTCTAAATGTGTGTCTGTGTTCCAGGACCTGTCGTAGTGTGAAGATGTGGTCTATACAACCACGTCCAGGTCGAATATCAGATTGGTTTTCTCGGGTTTGCTCTTCACGAGCTTTCGTTAAGCACCGTAGTATTATTGAGGCCAATATTTTAGATACTATATTAGTTAGACTTATTCCGAGAGAGAGCAAAATGCCCGAAATCAAAAGTAGCTAAATGTACGCTGAGATTATTTGAAAGTAATCAATTATGTGACATTGAATAAAATAGCTATTAATATGTCAACAGTGCTATTTCCACAACAAAAGGTACGTTTACATATGTTATATATAGAGAGTCGTTTCTGTCATGCATGTATCGACTGTTCTGCATTTACAGTTCTATTTTTTATGCTTGAAAACGCGAACCTCTATGATTCCCATGGTGTGAAGAGAAAACACAAAGGCCGGTTCGAATGAAGATTTATTAAATGTCTAAACGTACGTCCCAGAGTTCACACAGAATAATGCAAAGAATATATTTATCATTCTAGGCGAAAGTCGACCCCTGTCATACTGAATAAAATCTATCCCGTTGACTGATACAAAACATATTAACGTGAAATGTAACTCCGATATCATACTGACTAAAACTTTATGCTAGGCGTAAAACGAATATTAAAATGTCAGCTAAAAAAACTGGTGTTGTAAGATTTCATACAAAGTTGAAATATAAATGTATATTTCTGATTATTTATAATATCTCGACCTATCAATATTCAATATTATCCTAAATGATTTTCAGATTCATACTCTTTAATAAAAAGAGGTTTATCAGGTATTAGAGCAAAGAATATTTGTTATAGTTAGGGGTTCAGAGGTTAGGCGTTCGCACACAAGACCGAAAATCCCGGGTTCGAATCCTGCGAGTAGCAGGAATCGTGGATGCACACTGCTGATGAGCAGTCCCACACCAGGACGAAACGGCCATCCAGTGCTTCCAGGTTTCTAATGGTGGTCTAACAATGATTGATTGATGATTTCAAGTGTATAGTTAGTAAGCTAAAAATGTGATCATCGAACGTTTCACCCATCGATTCTCAAACTCCAATTGGATTGCTGATAGGGTTATTCACCATCCCAAGTTCGGATAAAGGAGAAGAGTTGAGCATGCAGTTAATAGCCTCATTCTGCAGAAAATTTCTTAACTAAAAAAAAAGAAAGTGTTAACCAGAAAAACTATTAAAATTCCATTTAAGTAGTAGGTTCAGGTCATAGTTTCCGCAACAACAACAAAAATTAATTAATTCCTGTGTATTGTTCACAAAGTAAAAATCTGATTAGATGCAATGTTTATTGTTATACTAGTGTTGTCATAGTAACCTACCATGTTCACAAATATATATATAAAACATTTATGATACTTTTTTTATCATTTTCTCTTACTAAGAAACAAAAAAAGATTATCCTAGTCTATCGGTTCTATTCTCTTCGTTCAAAAAACATTGACAAACAATGAATGAAAAGAATCTTTCTTTTCTTTCTACTTTGTTGATAAAAAATTTCCGTTGCAATAATAATAATATTATTATTATTTTAAATTATCACTTCATCTAAAAATCTTGATTAGAATAGATTCAGAGTTTGACATTTGAACAGAAAGGTTACTTTATTCAAATGCAGCTAGTGAACAGTAACACTGAATGAGCTGCAGTCATACTCAGTTGAGAAATTCCAGTTAAGACAGAATGTTGGGGATGTTAGATCCCCAAAACTCGTTTGATAAATGCCTTATTTTGGTTTTTACGTTTGCCAGCATGGGCTGATCACTTGACCTTGAGATTTCATTTCCCACCAGCAAAATCTATGGCTGTGATTGGCTGCTGTGTATTTTAGTGTGCTATTTTCATAATTGTCCCAACGACGTTTCTATGATGTATAAATAAACGAGAGTTGTATGCTTGATTGTATTGTGATTGCTGGGTGTTTGTAGAATATAATTTCTACGCTTACAAAGCCTTTTATCTTGAGCTTGGGATTCAAGGTAGCCTACCTGGACGCTGGTTCATTGTCTCGTTCGCGTTTATTGACTAAGGTGAACTCGTAATAGCCTCAAGCATACTTAGTGACGAGCGTAACACAGAATTATCCAGTAAATTTGATAGATAATAAGACTTATCATCAGTGCGAATCCACAACCCCATGCACGGAGATCAAACTGATGGATGATAAGTTGCATTTTAGGACGAAATCGTCGTCCAGGATTCTAATGCTAGACTAATGTTGATCGATTCATGGTCAACAAACCTGTAGTGGTAAATGATAGAGTAAAATTATTTTAATTATTATTCCAGTATCTCATGTTATTTTATTTCTTGAATTAAACGAATGAACAGTTCAGAAAATGGAATTTGCTTTCATGGTTTCTAGTTATCTTCACCTTGACACTAATAAACTATTTTTATATATGCACTTAATTAATCATAATCTATTGAGAGAAGTTTGTTGTTCAACGGAATATATTGTTCAGTAACAAATGCTGTCGTCTCATCTGTATTGATGATATCAAGCTTGCTAGAGTACTTTTACGGGTTGTTTTACGTGATTTTAAATAAAATTCATTCCTTTTTTTGGACAGAGTTCAAAAATTCAAATATTGCTTTCTCGATTCCGACTGGCTCATTCCCAAATTGTAATTTTCCAGAAAACTTATCTACAAACAATTACAATGAAATCAGGTGTCTGGAAATGTAATGATCACTTTGTCAATCTACAATTTCTTAGTTCAGAAAAAAACATGACTGCTTAATGCTTATTTCCAAAAACTAGATGATCTGGAAATTCGATTAGCCCAACAAATAAAAATTTCTTTGAGATGGTACGGAAAATTTGTAGCTCAGGTGGATGATTGTGGTGGTGTTTCGTTCTCTGAGCTGCAGGTTTTGGTTGTGGAGCGTTCATTGTTCTTCTGAACAACATCATCAGCACAAACTTCAGATAGAAGTGAAACATTCGAATTTCTCCACGCTTGACCAGTAGCTTGTTCTGCTAACCTCGGTCTTGATTGGTTGCTGTTGACCTTAAACCTGTCGTTGTATGCACCGTTGTTTTGATTGTATCCCCCTTTTGATCTGTTTCTTGATCCTATGTCACCTACGAATTTCCTGATTGGTTGATAAATTGGGTCAATGTCGATGTGTCTGTTGATTGCTGATTAACCTGAGGGCCAAGCATCTAAAATTTCTCTAGTGTTTTTTTGTGCTCTCCCTATCCAGTATTTCCACACTGATCGAATCGATCGTATGTCCATAGTTGCCCGTATGTGTTGATATAAGGTAAACATTGTCGTGGCGTTCGACTGCTAATTGGTGTTCGCCTAAACGAAGCTGAAGAGGCCCGTCCACTTAGTCCTGTGTAGTATTTTTCA